TTCCATTCTTCTGGTGGTATGAAAAAAACTCCTTCTTTAAAATTGCACGCCTCATATTTACTTCTTAAAGACTTGGGCGATACATTTATTGTACCTTTGGGGAGACCAAATTCTTGACATATGTTCAAATTTCTTTCCCTTAATCTTTTCAAAGGACTTTTGACTGGACTTATATCTAGTCCTCTTAGTTCACCTTTATTTCTCAGCAAACTTATCATTTCCGGACGGCTGATAACCTCATCATCGCAAAATAACCTTTTTTGACATTTGTCCTTGCTCAATATATTCTTTCTTGAAGGTGTGACAAAAAAGTCTTTAGTATTGATATTTGATGCTGCAATGAATTTCTCGTTATTCCACAATTGGCTTGTTGGACAGCTGTCCATATTAAATATTTTTTTAGGAGGTGTAATAAATGAATTACTCATTGTTGTATGCGATTCGGTTGGTATTTTCTCAGATGAAGGTATTACGGTAATTTCAGGTTCCTCAACAACTCGAATACAATTTTCATCAACATATTCATAGTCTGGTGTATTTAATACATAATACTCTTCATTATTCATAACATTTTTAGATGAATCATCAATCACGGCATTATTTTGCAAAAGTTTAATACTTAAGTTACTTTCAATACTACAGTTTATTTCTTCCATATTAGTATCAATAAATTCATCATGAACCATATTTGTCACAGACATCACATCCAGATTATCATCATTATTAAGCAAATTGTCATGCTAAAATATAACAAAATTATTATAACTAATTTCGAATTAATGGGTTTGCAAAGATAGCTGATTAAAAAAAAATATTTTTTTGATAGGCCTACCCCTCAATTAATTTTAATTATTTATTAAAATTTAAAAATTAGTCATAATTTAATTTGACCTCGTAAAGCAAAGATATTAATAATTCTTATTTGAAACAAGCACACTCTACAAAATTGTGCATAAAACTAATATTTTTATGAAAATTTTCATATCAATAAGTTGGCAATGGAAGTTATATTACAAATAATATCATAATTTATTTATTTGGATATTTAAATCAAATAAATACTACAAAAGATTTTTTTTTTTAATGTTATGATTTTTTTAATTGGAATTTTTCAAGTCATATCAAGTTACCATTGAAATATAGAAAAATTAGTATTAATATCATTTTATTATTTATGAATAATTACCTCTTGAATATTAGAATTTTCAATCACACATTTTTCCACCAATTCATTTTTATTTAATTCTTTTATTTGTTGCATAATTTGCAATATTATTTTTCAATACAGTAGTTTTAAATTCATTAATAATTCTAGATATGCTTAACCTTACTTTTTCTATGATCAAAGTTTTCTGAATCTTGGACTTTTTATTAAAATTAAAACCTAATTTCTTACAAACTTTTAGAATAATGTCTGAATTCACATCTGTAACATTTACAATTTGATTCAATAAAATACACCTTACTTGATCCATGAAATTTGTTTTTTGCTCCTGGATTCCATTATAAACATTTAAAATATTGCATCTTCCTTCCACTAAAATCTGAAAACAAAATTAATTTACTTCATATAAATTATTTTTCTAACAAATTATAAATAGTTATTACATAAAAAAAATTATAAACAGAGCTTTTNTTTCATATATTGTAATATAGCTTATAACCATAAACCAAAAATACAATTTTTTTTTAAAGCTTTATAGACTTGCAATTATCTGTAAAAAAAAAACAGTATTTAATCAATATTTTTGAAATCTTAAATTTGCTTATACTTTTGTTGTTTGAATTCATCATATTTGATATTTTTAATTTCCTTTAAATATAACATATTAAATAAGCCATTTTCTTTGTTAGTAAATTTTTTATGAGACATGGTTTTTAATTGTCATGTTTTGCTATGACAGGCTAATGTTTTGATATTAATTCAACATTTTTACAGGTAAAGAATATTTTAAAATGAAAATTGTGTATAAATTTACCTAATGAATATGTTATTTCATAATTATTACTACTAATAATATATATTAATACTTAAAAAAAAAATTAAACTTATTATGTATAGAAAGCTGAAGGTCCTTGGACAGCTCAAAAATGTAGAAAATTACACTTTTTGTTATATATAAAATATTTTTCATGGTGTGGAGAATAATAAATTTAGCCTTTTGAAAATTTTATTCTAGTTACAATTAAGTTTAAATTTCCTTATGAATTATTGAAAAATTAGATAATTAATAAAGACTTTTATAGTAAATATTATACAGATTATAAGAAAACATGGAACAGTAGAGTCAATTTCTAATAAATATATGGGAGTAAGAGTAAAACTGATGCAAGTCAATATTAATGATTTTTCAGAAGTCTATTGAAAAATTAGTTAATATATTATTTAGTATTTAAATATCAAACTCTTGTTATCCAAAAATTTAATTTCATAATGTCGAGAGATGTCCAGCGAGAGCTGGATCAAAATATACCTAATATCAATAGTACTTTTCACATATTAAAATGAAAAGTATTTTCTCAAACTATTATCAAAGTTTTACATGATATCGAACAATTTATTTGTTGGGTTTTACGTGAGTTCAGACTACTTATTTTCAAGTATGGCCAATATAAATGGAACGGCTAGAATTTATATTTAAATATTAACATAAACAGAATAGAATTTAATTTTCAGAAAAGAAAGTTTAATTAATTAAAAATCAATTAAAAGGAAAATATCGATGATTTCAAACAAAGTTAAAAATAATTTAAATGTAATTAAAATTGACAGGATAAATACTTACGTGCTTCGACAGGATTACAAGACGTAGAAATGAATAAACAAATGTGTTTTTTAATTACAACATTCAATAAATATGGCGGAGTAGAAATTAAACAGTGTTACAAATGTACAATAATATTATGTAGCCTCCAAAAAGAGATGACATCATGTTACACCAATTTTTGAGTCTCTTAAAGTTGATTTTACGAAAATTTATTTTTAAAACGTTGAATTTAATAACAGAACTTTTTTTTAGGTTCAATATAAATATTTTAAATTACCATCATTAAATTGTAAATTTTATGAAGTTTTAAAAAATGGTATTGTTTAGATTGATATGTGATTAGAAACATGTATAATTACTATTATTAGTATATTTATGAGAAAGGTTCACGATTTCGTTCGTTACTGTTTTTTTTTGCAGTTATATCGTCATAGATAATTTTAATAGAAAGCTTAGCAGTCAATTCTAGTAACTTCTAGCGTGTAAAAATATGGTGTGATTGAAATTTTCAGATCTTAATTAATTTTTTTAATTATTAGAAAATTATAAAAAAAAGGTTAAAATGAATTTCAACAACATATAATAGGACAAAATAAAAAAAAATTCTTCAATATTAATACAACCTTATTATGTTC